GTTTCAGATTTCATTTCGCTTATTGGTGTGCCTATCGACGTCAATGGGTTAAAGCAATATGTTTGATCGGGATAACTAACAGCCATTTTTGTGAAATCTTACGGTGGGGCATCAATGCTATAATTGAGGAGAATATCCGCAGAGATACGATATAGGAAAAACGTAATAACGGAAAGTTAAACCATACAATTAGTGATAAACCGTTTGTTTAGAACATTAAATTTACACATGCGGGATTGATTCGCACTGATGCGAAGGGGATACTGTGTAAACTTTCAAAGCGCTAAATTCCTTGCTTCGACATAAAATTTGCATTATCAGAAATCCAATGTAGTTATTTGAAGACGTATCGCATAATCCGGTCTCAATCCAAATACATGTACATAATAGTAGAGATACAACCGGAACTTTTTTATTCCCAAAACCATGGCAAGACGTTCCTTTTCAATTAATGTGTGATGCGACTCGGACACTAAATGACTAACTTTTCCCTAGCGAGTGTTACTGGGAAAGCAACATCGTCTTAATAACACAAAACAATCACTGAATAACAAATATCAAGACTATATAAGCAACGTTTGATATTGTAGATATTACAGTATTCAGAAATTTCTGGGTAAATATAACTTTAAAAATGCATGTTCGCCAGGGAACTGTTAGTGTCAGTTTATGTCACGTTTAAGTTTGGAGAGTTTTTGCAATGCTGTTAACCCTCCAAAGTAGCTCAAAATTATAAAGGTATAATATAAGTAATCCATTGCCAAGCAATATATGTCACTCGATATTATACAGAATTATTTCCTTTATAAACGACATTCGTTTGTATAGGTAATGCACAATTAGCCAAAAAAATGTTTGCGTCGCTTAAATATGTAATAACCTTATAACAAAGCCCAGAACAAGCCGGTCACTGGTAGCATAGTGGTTGTTGCGTCAGACTCATGATCGGTAGACCCAAATTCAAATCCTACCATAGGCTGAACCTCAAAAAGGTCGACCCCTCCCCTGGGTGAGTGTGCCACAGACTCAATGGGAAGGCCAATTCCACTGGCCGAGATTCATTCACTAACGAATGCGACTTTGGGGGAACCTTGGTTAAGGTCCGCAGGTGCTTGTGTTCGACCGGGCCTGGTTGACGCCAGGATAGCGCATTACAAATTGCCATTTGACAGAGAGATGGCCAAACAGCCCCGTCATGTAGTTCCTAAACATGAATATGACTTCTGTGGCAAAATGCACTATGTGTCGTCACTAGCACTTGCAATTTGCACATACAAAAAAAAAAAGTCAGGAGAGACAACAGTGACACTCAATGTCCGGAACTGTCGCCTGGCACAAAAAATATTTAAAAAAAAAACCCACAACCAAATAAGGCCTTGATTTTGCAAAGTTCAGTTTCAATATTTATGTTTATTGTCACATAGATTACCAAGAAAATTCCAATATCACATTATATGAATGAAATCACGGTTAGACTCATAGTTGCTGTCGACATAGGAAGTAAAGTAAGCAAATAACACCGAATAAACGGCAAGGTAAAGACTATGTCTAATTATAGTAAATACGTACTGCGTGCGTGACTCGAACCGGCGCTCGCGTACGGCACCAAATCGCCTAGCTTCACGCTACTACACGTCTTCCCCTCGGCCACCGGGCATCCCAAAAATTATTTCTCAGTACTTATTCACTGTTACAATGCTGTACCATTACTTTCACCATCCTACTACAGCCAGATCTGAAGGCCTTTGCCGCATTCTGGCCATGCTGTGTGGCGCGTATCGCGTGGACGGGTTTCATGTTCTCTGCACGTAATAAGCTCGGTTATTAAGCATCCTTTTTGGGGGATGCCCGGTGGCCGAGGGGAATACGTGTAGTGGCGTGAAGCTAGGCGATTTGGAAAACGAAATGGAAAACGGGCAAATAT